CTTCTGGAAAAGGAGCCCAAAGGGAACAGCACTTGGCAGACCTGTGCCTTCCCTTCCCATCCTCAGGGGGCCCGGTGTGGGGAGGGGACTGGGCCCGTCGCGGCCCCTCCTCCCCGGCCCTGCCCTGGGCTGCTGACGCTCCTCTCCCTGCAGCTGGCGGGGAGCAGTGATCGAGCCGGAGCCACGCACCCAGGCGCCTTCCAGGAAGGCAGAGGCCCCTGCCCGGCCCTCTCTGCAGGCCCCCAGGATTCAGAACCAACGAGGTGAGGCCCCCTGCGCCCTCTTGGTTCCCACCTGGGCATCCTGCGGGCGAGGGCATGTGGACACAGATGCATCCCTGGCGAGGGCAGAGTGCTGGCCATCCCCGTGGGGCCGCAGTCCGTGCCCGCAGGGCGCACACTCCTCAGAGCTCAGGTGGCTTTCCTGTTTTCTTAACGTGTTTTATGGAAAGAAAAGAGGGAGAGAGAGAGATGGAACCATAGTTGATGAGAGAATCATGGAGCGGCTGCCTCCTGCACAGCCCCTGCTGGGGATTGAGTCCACAATCTGGGCAGGTGTCCTGACCAGGAATCTAACCCATGCTCAGCCACTGAGCCACGCGGGCCGGGCAGCAAGGGGCCTTTTGAGGCCGGTGCCCCATGCCCAGGCTGAGGCAACGGGAATGCGTGTGGGAGGCTTGCTTTCCTGCCCGTGGCAGCTCCCGGGGCTGAGAGACGTGGGCAGCTGCATGGGTGCTTGCATTCAGGCACCTGTGGCTGGGGGCCTACTGGGTGCCGGCACTTCTGGGGAAGGACGCAGGAGCCCAGAGCTGGGCTGGTGGCCAGGCCTGTCGGGGACTCTGATCGTGTGGCCTGAGGGCAGAGCTGTGGGCCTCTGCCCCACAGAGTGGACACGTGGTGGGAAGCCAGTGACACTCAGACCTCACGCGTCTCCTCTTGGAAGACGCCAGGTGCGGGGTCATGAGAGGCGGGTGGTCGGGTCCTCGTCCCGACACCCGTCACAATGGACGTTCCCGCGCCCACGTTGCCAGCGCAGCCAGTGTGACTGGTCTGCGGCCTGAAATGCTCTGCTCGCCAGGGCTCCCTGATGCCCGGCAGGTGGACGGGACAGGCCTGGTGGACATGAGTCCGAGCTGCCTTGTGAGGCCCCAGCGCCTCTCCATCTCCACAGCCCTGTCCAGCTCTGAGGGTCTCACTCGGGCCGTCTCCCGACCTTCATGCTGCTGCCCTGTGGCCCTGGACAGTGCTCCCCGGCTCCTCAGCCTCCCTGCTTGGGGGCCCCAGAGGGACTGTCCTCCCTGACCAGGTCCTGTCCCCCTGACCGCTTCCCCCGCAGCCTCCCCTAACGAGCGCCAGCAGGCCGTCATAGACGCCTTCCGCCACGCATGGGCCGGATACCGCGCGTTTGCCTGGGGCCACGACGAGCTGAAGCCCGTGTCCAAGTCCTTTAGCGAGTGGTTCGGCCTCGGCCTCACGCTGGTCGACTCCCTGGACACCATGTGGATCCTGGGTCTGAAGAAAGGTACCCGTCCCCCAGCTCCCGCGTGTGACGGCGGGCAAGTGGGCGCGTGTGCCCGGAGGTCCGCCTGCCGTGTCCGCCGACGTGCCTCCTTCCCTGGGGCCAGGAGCGGGTGTGCTGGTTGTGGGGACTCTGTCACCTCACATCCAGACGTCCTGGGGGCACTCAGGGCAGCGAGAGGCCCCTGCCGAGAGCCAAGTGGACCCTGGTGGGCGCCCAGCGGCCTTCCCGCCGGGGTTTCTGCTGCAGCTGGGAGGGCCCCGAGTGGGAGGTGGCACGTGGTCTGATGTAGCTGCCAGCACCCGGAACCGTCCTCCATGTCCACCTGTGTCGCAGCTGGGGGCAAACTGGGACTAGGTGTCATCGGTTGTTTCTAAACCGACGTTGGCTGAGAAGGCGGGAGGCCGCCGCTGAGCCACCCCCGTGTCCTTGTGCCGTGGCCTCTGACGCCGACCACTGTGCTCAGGGCGGAGGTGGCTCCCTGGTCGCACCTGGCCCCTCAGCTCAGACCCGAAGACGGGTTCCTGCCTTTGCACCCTCAGCAGAAAGGTGGACAGGAGCACACGTGTCGCCCGGGGTGGGAGGCCCGAGGGCAGTGCTGGGCCCGCGAGCGTGTCCTGTGCCCCCTCCCTCTCCCATCCCCTAGAATTCGGAGAAGCCCGGAGGTGGGTGTCCGAGAAGCTGCAGTTTCAGAAGGACGTGGACGTGAACCTGTTTGAGAGCACCATCCGCATTCTGGGGGGCCTGCTCAGTGCCTACCACCTGACGGGGGACGCGCTCTTCCTGCAGAAAGCCGTGC